TGAACCCCAAAGACCAGCAAGAAAGAAAAGAATTATTATTGATGTGGTAAATGACTCTGATAACCATGAGAAAGAGAGTAGCTGCTGTGTATGGGAGGGAGGAGAGCAGAGAAGAGTATGTTAGATTCACTGGGTCATTTTTTGGTATCCACATGCCCAGTTATAACTATAAATTTCTAAGTACAACCATAGCATTAAGAAGATGATAATCCAGGGCTCAGGATCCTCAGGTATGAGTTCTGGGTAACACCAGGCAAGCCTCTCAGATGAGCTTAAGTCCTGGCTGAAGGAAAGGGAAATATAAAATGGCTAAGGGAGTGCGCAGATCATGAGTATCAATAATGGCCTTGGTACCAACTGCCCTTTCAAGTCAGAGGAGGGCACCATTCTTCCTCAAGTACATTTTCTTGGAAATTGCAACCAACAATAACCAATTTGATAAGCTTTGCCTGGATGAAGTGAGCTTCTATAAGCAGGAAGTGGATCTGAGGGCTATGAGAAATGGACAGTAGTAGAATATAAATGTTGGTACATTACCAAGATTCTTTTTTTATCAGCTATGCACCTTTCCTCCATTTTCTGTGAATGTTAGCAGATTACAGTTCACGGCTCTTCCTTTTTTTGGAGGCTTACCCTCTGCAAAAGAGGAGCCACTTCCCCAGGAAGGCTATTCTCTGCCATGGGGAACAGATCAACAGCCAGTGAGTAGTGGACACAAGGACAGAAGAGGTTGTCTATCTTATCTCAAGGAGAGGCCAACTCTATGAAACAATTCATGTTCCAGAGCCTCTCCACAGGATCTGACCAGGCTATTCTCCAGCTGAGACTCTATTCTTGCTAAACTTCTATTTCCTGATCTATACTGCTGCCCTCACTCTCCTCTCCTGAGAGCACTCGTTCAAATAATCACATCAACAAGAATTCCTGACTTGGCTCTGCTTTTGAAGAACCTTACCTAAGACATATGGTAATATGCAACTCATCTGAAAGAATGCATCCTAAGTATAGGCCTTAAAAACTCTCACAAATATCACAAGATTTTTTTTAAATCACAAAACTTTAAGAGACATATCATGATTGAGACTCAGCAGGAAGAAAACACAAAAACTTCAAAAAATAGAACCATCAACTCAAATGTAAAACATATATATAATGCATGGGACATGTACATATTAATATGTACATAATTTTAATGTGATGTATATAATAATAATATTTAAAACAAATATATTATATATTATATTGTGTATATTATGTGTATTGTATGTTTTGTATTTATTATATATTGTGTATATTATACAATACATATAATATATAACTTTTATATTTTATGTAATCTTATATATTTAAAGTCATATATAACATATATAAAACATAATACATATAAAATGTATAAAAAGAAATACAAGCATAAATGAGAGCAAAAATTGATCAATATCAAAAGCCAATTCACCAAAAGAAAATAGTAATTGTGAATAGCATATAATAGATAAAATTAAAACTCAATATACGGATGAAAGGGCAGATTACGCTGAAGAGAACACCTAGCGTGGTAAGAATATGTGAATAAATATTCCAGAATTCACTGAGAGACTTAAAGGTGGAAAATACAAAGGATGAAACACACAGAGGACCCTGTGAAAATGCTGACATCCACATAACCAGAGCTGTAGTGCAGGAGAGACAATGGAGTAGAAGAAATATTTGATAATGTGTGAAATTTTTGCAAAGTTATTGAAAGACATCAACCCATAGATTCAGGAAGTCAACTAAACCACAAACAGTATAAACAGAAATTCGACCAGCTATATATCATGTTTATATGGAACAAGACTGCCTAAATTTGAATCCTGCCTCCTACTTCCTAACTAGCCAATCAAGGACAAATTATTTAACCTTTCCTTGCTATAGTTTCTGATCTGTAAAATGGGTTTAACAAAAGTACATACTTCAGAGATTGTTATGAAGATGAAATGAGCTGTTATGTATCTGTGAAGCTCTTAGAATAGTGCTGTTGAGTTTTTAATATTCATCTTTATTACTTTTATCTTGAAGGCTTATACAAGGTGCTCTGAATCAGATTTCTTATGATTATCTCAAAATAAATAAGTAAATCAGTCTGCTTTGCCCTAAGCCTTACTTATGATGAAAGCAGGGTCAAATGTCTGACATAAATAGCTGAATATTCTACAGGTGAATAATGAATGTGGTTTTTTTTTCCATTTATATACAGGAGAGACAGTCATCCCCTCCCATCCTTAAAGAAAAAAAAATCTTTTGCTGCTTTGAGATGGGTTGGAAAGGATCCTAGGCAGAATGTAAATACATCTTTCCAAGGGCCAAATAAACCCCAGGGTTTCGGATCAGAGTTTCACACCTAGAGAGGTAGCGCCCCAACGTCTGGCACCTTGAGAGCTTAACCTAGGGACCTAATCCAGGCTGTAAGCATTTACCTCACTTGAGGAGATAAGAGGAGTTTTATTATTCTTTTCGATCAAAGCAATTAACTACACAAATAACCATAGGTGTGAAAAGTCTCAGGAGGCTAGGGCTTTTGGGAGCACTGAGAAATCCAGGGAAGTTTCACTTCCCCACAAATACCTGGCATATGCTGAGTTTAAGTGCTTGTTATACAAATAAAAATAAACACAGTTGAAGGAATCATAAAGATAAGAGCAAAAAGTAATGACATACAAGAAGAGACACAAGGGGGAGGATCTGCAATGGCAAAAGTTGATTCCTAGAGAATAAAATGGCCCAATTCTGGGGAGACCAATCAAGAAAAGAGAGAAGACCCACTGAGCGCTAGTCACACAGCAAGAGGAGAGATATCAACACCTACAGCAAGATTATAAAGACACTAAGAAAATACCTTGAACTACTTTATTAGTACTATCATCTTGGAAAGCCATTTGGTATTATCTGGAAAGGCTGAAGATACACAGGCCCAGAGACCCAGGAGTTTTGCTCCTTGGAATGGGCTCTCAAAAAACTCTTGCAGACATGCACCAGGGGAGAAGTACAGGAATTTTTACAGAAACATTGTTCATAATGGCAAGAACACACAATACCAAGTGTTCATGTACAAGAATAGAAATATATTAATTGTGGTGACCTCGTACGATAAAATGTGGAGTAACAGCAAAAATGAAGAAACTGGCTATATGCCATCAACCATAACGAATGCCACAAACACTTGTTGAGCAAAGTCACAAATTAACAAAAAGGCACAGTATAAAACTATCGTGAAAATTCAGTAGCTGTCAAAATTAACGAATGTACCTTTTGGTGGTATATAAATACATGGTGAAATTAGAAATAAATGCAAAACAATCATCACCACAAAATTCAAGATGAGTGATCGTCTGGGGAAAGTGGCAAATGAATGAAATCTGAGTGGCAGAAATAGCCAGTTTCCAGTGTTAGGAATGTTACATCTCTAAATTGGGTGGTGAGTATGAACCATATAGTCATTTTATGGATGTGACTTAACCTACATTATACTTATTATTTTAAAGGTAAAATAGTTTAAAACAAAAAGGGGCATTTTGCATGGGTCATATCACTTGGCTTTGGAGCTGAGAAAGCATCTTTACCATGAATCCTTGCTTCACTAGAATGGCATCCACTTCTATAAATCTCCCCACTTCTCTCTTCTTGTATGGTCTAAGAAAGGGCACTGGGGTGACCACCCAGCACAGAAGGGACAGTGTGTCTTCTCTTGTTAAGCCCAAGCATTGCAAGTCTTATTAAAAGGTGAGGACACTACTTTGTCCTTAGATTTGGCCCATTGTTGCCAATTTGGAGGCATGGAAGATAATGTCCTCCTCTTTATCTTTTTAACTTTACACTAACAACAAATATCAAAGAGGATTTGTGAGTCAATATGTTGTATTAAAGAAAGGAAGAAAATTCTAAAGTAGACCTATGATATAATTAACATTTTATGTATACATAGTCACTGGGGTGAAAAACAGGATGACGAAATAGGAAGGGCCTCTTCATAAAATTCTCTTATTTTGAAATATGTCTCTTTTTGGTTTTAAACACAGGGGAAAAGATTTTGCCTCAGAGGCATCACTCCCTCACACCACGTCTTTCCTCTCCCTGGTGTTAATGTTCCATGTAATGCTAATTAAATGCACATGTGTAACTAATTTAAGTGTTACAAAATTCAAGGCACTCTTAACTCCCTCTTCCCCCAAAAATAAAATGTAAAAGTTGCTCATCTCTAGACTTTACAGAGGACTGGAAATTGAATTGTAAAATCCTAGTTCACAGGAAAATCTAAATTAACTATTCCAGGTTATGAATACTTGATTATGGAAGGAACAGTTCAGAAATAGCCCCATTTTAATTCATTTGGAAAAGGTAGTCATTCATTATACTGGGTCTTAGGCTCAGCAAAGAGAACAGAAAGGGCCTGAACTGTCAAGCCTTAACACATATGTATAAAACAAATTATCTCACTCTGTTCGGAACTGATACAGCTGAATATCATATTAAGGATAGAGGCCAAAAAAATGGTCAAAGAGGTGCTCCCGCATGAAGACATAGGAACTACAAACAGCATGGAGGGGAAGTTTACATAGATACTTACTTGAAGACACAGATCATTACAGATGCTTTCCTTACCAGGATGACTGCAATCTGAAACTCATGTTTATTATATGTCAGCTAAACATTTTAACACTGGTATCTTAAAAATGGAAGTGACGGGGGAAGACAGAGTCACTATTCCATATTCTCTGAACACTATTTGCAAAAATGGCAGTAATCCTGGAAACAATCATGCTTCCCCTATCAACGCCATCTCAAGGATGACTCTCTGGGTTTTTATTTAAAGCGAAGTGTCAGAGGGGAACCCGTACCTAGTAAAACTAACAGAACAGTGAAGAAAGAACATGATAGTCTGTGTTAAAGGAAATCACTTTCCAAAGAGAGCTGAGGACAAAAAAAAAAAAAAAAAAAAACAAAAAACAAAAAACAGAAGAGCTTACCTTTATGGTGGTTTGCACTGGATACAACTTTCCCCCACAAGGTTACAATAAATATTATTATTAGCAGCTTTCCTTTTGTTGCTTTCTGTAAGTATCTCTTACTCATCCTGCAAATAAAAAAATAATAAAAATGCTAAGTAGATGAAATCACTGCTTTTCCAGTATAATTGTGCTACATTTAGAGCTTCCCTAACACCTGAACACCTGAAAACTGCATTTATTGTATTTGAAATGCTGTTTACTGTATAAATTCTAAGAAGAAAAAATAAAAGTATTCCAAACAAAGTACCCTGATAGGATGCAAGAGATAAGAGAGGCCCTACCTCAGTCTTCATTCATGTAACAATAGCCTAAATCAACTGGGAAACATTACCATTTGTCTCCATATAAATATAGATTTAACATTCACAAAACCCGAAGCACAGTTGTTTGAATAATCTTTAAATAAGTGACTTATCTTACTTTTTTCCCTAAAAGATTACTTCTTCAATGCCAAGTCAAATGGTCAGCGTAAACAGTTTAGATAAAATGTGTTAAATGAATTCCTGTCCAGAATAAACTCATTTCAAGTCTATTATTCCTAATGTGCTTAAAAAAAAAAGTCACCTGGGACAACTGCTTCTGACAATGCCACTACTACAGACACACAGATGTTTTAATATTGTTGGAATCCACTGCCTTGCACTTTATCAGAAGGAGAAAAATGGAAAAGCACAATGAAAGATACCAAGTGAACATCTTCAAGTTGAACTCACAAAACTCAGGAAAGCAAAGCGATGTTCTAATAATAGCTACCTATAATAAAAGTTCCACACCTGGTTTCTCTAGCACTTTATGTGGCAATATTTATATTGTTCTTCACAACAAATTTGGGATATTCGTATGTCCATCCCCATTTCAAAGATGAAATTTGGAAATTTTCCTAAGATCTTGTTTAACAATAGGCAATTCTGGGTTTGAATTTTTACTCTTATTCTAAATTGCTTATATTAACTACTACTTTGCTAAGGAGTAAGCAAAACTAACATAAAATACAACTCATCTGTATTTATGACATATATAAAATATATGTCCATCAATTTCTGCCTTCCCAGATTCCAATCCTATACTGAACTCCATTCTTGTTTGACCCACAGTTTTGGGTAGGTTCGTGAGGTCACTTTCTGGCCTCATCTGATTCCTCTTCTTCTTGAATTCTCTAAATTACCTTTTTCCTCACATCTTCCAAAAATCCTATCTCTAAGAACATGATTCAGTGGTAGCAATGATGTCTATAATTTTGTATGATTCTGAAAAGGAGTCGTTACTATGGATAAATGCATTGAAAATGATCATATATTTTAATATAGATATATGCAAACATTCCTTGGCCTGAGGAAGCTGTGTGCACCAATTCAGATGTTGAGGAGACATCGTTGCATGATTAAGAGCATGACTAACTCCTGAGTCTGACTGTCTGGATTTGAGTCCAGGCTCCACTGGCTTCTAATTGTATGATTTCCTGGATCTCTTGAGTCTCCTCTGCTATAAAATGGGGTAATGCATGCAAAATGCCTGCTGTATTGGTTGGCATGTATATGGGCTCAATGACTATGAGATTAGAGAACAATCCAGTCATTTGGATATTACGTTTGGTCTCTGAGGGCCACAAAAGGCCAGTCCCATTCATGGAGTGACTGAAGAGTTTCAGTGATACCAACATCCACCAAGCCCTCCATGGACCTTCGTCTTATGACATGTCAAGATAATGTACAAAGGGGTAAGTGCTTGACCTCTTAGATTAGATTGTTTGGTCAAAGTCCAGTTTCCTGTCTACTGAGTCTATTACTTTGGACAAATTACTTCATAACTTAGAGTATTTCTTTTGTCATTAAGATGAAGATAATAATAAATATCTACACCAGATAGCACTGACAATGTGAATACTCAACGAGACAGTCCATGTAAAGCATTTAACACTACGCACAGAAGATAATAAGCACCGAATAAGCATTCACCATTACCACAATCATTACTAGGTTGGCCCAGCATTTACCTCGGGGCATTCTGCGAGGCACCAATTCCACAGCATGTTAATACAAATATTAGTGAAAAACATGGAGAGGGGGTACAAATATATTTGTAGACCTCTGACTTCCACAAATGTAACCAGATCCTCTTCTAACAAGAGGCCTATTTGAGTGTGCAGCATTTTCCAGAAACCTTTTGCCACAGAGTAACACAGGATACTAATGTTCTCGGGAAGCCTTTGAGAGAAATCATCTGGTTTTGTATTCTCAGAAAGTCAGACACCCATTTTACATCATCCGTTACATAGCCCTGGTTTCCTCTCAGCACGCTTACTACTAGTTTGGGTCTGAGATTCTACTTTTCCGAACATTTTTTCCAGCCATCCTGCCTCCCCCACTCTACATTCGGTTCCTGCAACCTTACTGTACCGCATATCCTATAACAGAATGAACAGTTTAGCAAAACTCATCTGACAAGAAGAGCTGCTTAGCATAATTCTTGATAATAGCTTTGCTGTAGCAAATGGCCTCTGCTACAAGGTCAATGACCCGCCGTATCTTCCATAGCACTGTGCACCCACCAAATGGGATGACGGAATTGACAGCAGGTCAAACTGATAACTAGGCATCTGGAAATGGAAACACCCACAAAGTCACCAGGCTGTCAAACTAAGAAAGGAAGGGGGAATGCAGTTCAACATGTGGAAAAGTGGAAAGACCCCTACCTTGTCCCTCTCGTCCCTCTCCATCCCCTCTGGTCAAGTACCATCTTCAGTCAGCATTATTCCTGAATATCCTTAAACATAACTTATTTTCATCCCTACTGCAATATTGCAGTTCAGACTACTAATATCATGGGCCGACAGCCTCTTAGCTGGACTTCTTACTGCCGATATTGTCAGCCTCTGGAACTGGAGACAAAGTCTGTGTCTGCCCTTCTTCATGACTACATCTGTAGTAGTAGGTACTCAGTAAGTGCCTAATACTGTTGACTGGATGGGATCCAGTGTAGCCAAATAAGTAACTATGGATCATGAGACACCATTTACATGATCAAAACCTTCACAAGACTCCCCTCTATGTTCAGAAGACCCTTAACCCTCAGCAAGATTTAAAAAAATAACTGAATCAAAGTTAGGCATTTTTTGTACTATCTCTAATATTATTAGAGATTAAGCCTTTCCTCTCCATCTCCCTCTCCACACAGACTCACAGTCTTTGTTGTTGTTGTTGTTAAGGATTTTATTTATTTATTCATGAGAGACACGAGAGGGGCAGAGACACAGGCAGAGGGAGAGGCAGGCTCCCTGTCGGGAGCCCAATGCAGGACTTGATCCCAGGTCCCCAGGATCACGCCCTGAGCTGAAGGCAGGTGCTATGTTTCCTCAATGTCCTGCAGCTAAATTTCCCTTCCAGGTCACCTGAAACATATCAGCCATCCACTTCATCCCCCGGTCCACTCTCATTAATGCCAACCTCTAGTCACTGGACAGAGTGCAGGTGAGAAGGCCGTCTGTAGGATTTGTTCAGGACCAGGTGGAGCGCCCTTCCTTATGCACACCAGCCACTTGCCACACTATTGTAATTTGCCTGCACTCATCTCCATCCCTCCCTGTCATCTAAGAATCCTGAAGAGGGACTGTGCTCCGTACATTTGTGAATACCTAGGGCCTGATCCAAGGGTCAGCTGGAAAATATTTGCTGAATGTTGGTGGTACCTTAGAGCCAAATATATCGTGTAGCTGTCACCACGAGGAGGAAGCAGGTGTGTTTCCTTCCTTTAGGAGGCAATTAGGTAAGTAAAGATGAACAGAAAGAAGAACGTGAAAAAGAGGTGGGGTGGGGGAGACAAGGAGAAAAAGGGAGGAATCCCATCTGGAACGTGTTTTATTCTAACTGATTTTCATGTAACAATAATGCGTGAGTGAACTGAAGGAGGGCTTTCAGCAAAGGGGCATCAAAAGGGAGAAAGCTGAATGGTCCATTTCTCCTTGACCCTCTATGCGAGCACAGAGGAAGGGGCATCCCCTTCTCATCCAGTATGTAAGGACCAGACCCCAGTTTATTATTCTTTATTTTATTTTATTTATTTATTCATGAGATACACAGAAAGAGGCAGAGACACAGGCAGAGGGAGAAGCAGGCTCCTCTCAGGGAGCCCAATGTGGGACTTGATCCCAGGACCCCAAGATCATGCCCTGGGCCAAAGGCAGATGCTCAACCGCCGAGCCACCAGGTGCCCCCAGACCCCAGTTTAAACATGTCCACCACAGCCAAAGGCCATACATGCTCTCAGAATTGTCCCATTCATCTGTAAAAGAAACATGACAAAACACAAGGGACTTCTTGAACAGCAAAATCTGAGGGAAGAAGAAACAGCAAACTGAAGGATAAATACACCAAACAGACGAAACTTTGAGATTGCTTCTCAAGCAGCCACAGCTTGCAAGGAGCAGGAGGGAAACAGGATCATGGAGCAATGGTAATCTTGGCAGTGAAGGATGTTGAAAAGTTGTCAGAGTAGAAGACTGACAATTAAACCTTCAGACTTTCTCCCACTCCTTTCTTTTGTGTGACACATTTCCGTTATGTTCTCCAAGATTTAGTCTTTTGAATGACTGTGAAACCCTTCACCTCCCCACCAATGTTAAAAGTGCATTTAATTGTAAATAAGCCAAGCACTGGAAAACTATTATGATACTAAAAAATCATTCATTTCCACATAAAAAAAGAGAAAGTAAGTTTAGCTGATCTAAAGAGGAGAAGATGGGAGGGGAAGTGGGTGGTGAGGGGAAGCCTTACATACAAGGGAGATAAAAGCTGGGACCTAAAATCCAACCTCCTGGGCTACCCTTGAGTGCTAGACACTTATGTGGAAATAAAGGCCACATAAGACAACATACATAAAGGTCTTTTTAGGACTTTTCTCTATGATGATCTAATATTTACACCAACCCAGTGCTGGCATGGACTTTAACAGCCCAATCTAGTACAGGAATTTACCTTTGAGGAAGAATGTTGCAACTGATAATACAATTTTCTCCTCACAGGGACCAGAATGATGTTATGAAATTTCTATCAGATTTTATTTCTCCACG